GGCCACTTTCCTCTGTCCCCAGGGAGACCATTGTGGAGAGGTTCGACTGCAAAATGGTATCAGCTAGGTGAAGCTGAGGGGAGGGGACGGGGCAACAAATTACTAGTTAACTCCAGTAGTGTTTTCTCGACTAAACGTGTACTTATTTGATCTTGTAAACCACTCATCTTTCAAAATTAATTAATAATACCTTGTGAGGTATTTCTGTAGTTCTTCAACGTGTTGTTCAATATTTCACTGTCATTAATTTCTTCGTCCTCTGAGGAGTCTTCAAATTCGTCGTCCACTCTTTCCAAGTATCTCTTCGCAGACTCCTTTATTTTATTTGCCTTTTCCTGCCTCTCCTTGGAAGCTTCAGGCACCTTGGGTGAATTTGCACCGCCATTTTCAGCTTTTCTGGAATTTCCCCATTTCGCGGGTAACAAATGTCCGCGGCCACCAGATTGCCCTGCCGCCGGATTGGTACCTTTTTCTTCATTTCCGCGGCCTCTACCTCGACCTTTTCCAAGAAATAACGGTCTTTTGTCCATTTTTGTTTCTAATATAAGTGTTTAACGCAACATTTTTGCATGTCAAGGAATCAAAGCGAAAAATAACGACAAATAAATATTGCACACGAGGATAGTACTCTTTTTTCTGTTGAAAGTCTGACGCGAGCCTGCTCAAAAGCAGCGGACTACAGCTATCGCAAATTTCTACGTCGTGTAAAACTCTACCACAGGAGAAGAATACGGTAAGTACTTGGTGTAAGACTACGTATAATGCGCTGATTCACAGATAAACATGGCCACAAGCTCTGTGAGGAAATGTTTCGTTTTCCATTTCTTTGTCGTAGCCGTGTATATTATGTAGTAAGGGAATGTGATGTTTTTATTTTTAAAGAGAGCCGTGTATTTATTTTCGTTTTAAACCTTGCGTTATACAGGGTGGTAGCAAGCTGGGTGAAGGAGAGAGGGAACATGCGTTGATTTCATCCCTGCAGTCTCTTTGTAAGGAACACGATCGTGAAACAGCAAGACAGGCAATCGAAACGCTATTGACACTTGCAAAGTAAAATAATTTTAGTGCTTATTAAGTTAGGGAGGGTGTCTATATGATGGACATTTACGTATGGTTTTTAAAGTTTGTCTTAGTTTTTCTTGTAGTTCTGTACTTCTGTTATAAACAATAGGGCTTGCTTGTTTTACATGGAGTCTTGCTCGTTCCGCAAAGGGGTTGTGGTGGGGGCGGGACAGATGGTAGAAGGTGATATTTTAAGGAAAGATTCGAGTTTGATGAATCAATGAACCATAGACCTGTAAATCAAAATATTCTTGGTGAATTGCAGTGCTTCCTCAGTTTGGGAATGATTTCATCTCATTCACTTTGTTCACTGTGTGTGAAGCACGCAGATGATAATTATCAGGTTGCTCAATGGATAGACAACACTAATCCACTAGAAAAGCGCACACACTACTCCATCCAATTTGTCCAATTTATCCAATTTATCCAATGGTTAGTTTATCCACCGTTTGGCACCAGATTAAATCGCTGCCTAATAGACAACAGTTTACTGTGCCCTGCCAACGGCAAGCAAATGTCATGGTTTTCAAAAATTCTGTACACCACTGAATCTCTTTGGAAGGTTTACTAACTAAAAATGTTAAACTGAGACCTTCTGAAGATAAAAACAACAACAACAACAACAACTTCCCTTCTCTTCCCATCTTTCCTGTTTTTCTTATGTTTATTTTCTCCCCATCTTCCCTCAAAAGAGTTATAAATTCTCTTAATATATTTTCAAGTCCCACTGATCTCATTTTACTTTACTCCCTGTATTTTATTCTCTTACCTAGCAACATCATAAAGTCGCCCATTGATGAAAAGTACCGCAGGGTCAAGACACAAAACAAATCTTTTTCATCCAAAGTTTGGTGCTTACCGGAGGCCCAGCAGTTTCTTCATCACTGGGGATGGATTGAGGTGTGCTGCAGACAGTGAATTTTATAATTGAAGGGGTGTAGGGAATAAGGACTTAAGTGACTGTTGATGAAATTTTATTCTATTTATTTAATTTTTTATCATTGTTCTCTGCATTGTTATCGCTAAGAACTTTCTTTTTAGCTCTTACTTTTGTTACTCTACACTTAGAGCAGATCTCAATAAGCGCTATTTAAATATCTATTATCATCATCATCATCATCATCATCGGCATCAGCATCAGCAGTATCATCATCAGCAGCAGCAGCTGCAGTCACTGCTGCCACTGCCGCCGCCGCAGCATCAGCATCATCATCATCAATATTGTGAAATGCCAAACTCTCCTTGTGTCTCATAAGAGAATAAAGGCAATCTGGAAGGAGAATCTCGCAATTTATCAGAAGTCACTTAGGGCTTTTTTCCAGGCACCCCTTCAATTAATCACAGGTGACCCAAGCTGCTAGAATCAGGAATCAGGAATCAGGTTCAGAGTTACCTTCTGTACTAATATGTAGGCAAGGCAAGATATATGGGTTAGTCAATCTGGTTAGACTTTGGCTTCAAACGTTTTTGGTTTCAATGTAGACCTCAACAGCATCTTGGTACAGAAGCACAGACCCAAAAATAACTTGACCTCATGCTTGTTCAATAATTCATGACTTACTTTTCCCCTTGTGAGATATTACACATTCATTCATCTTAGAAATTCAGCTTCTCTTTTCACAGGAAACTGTTAAAGTGTTAAACAAAATGTATGAAGTTATTGGTGAATTCTTGTTTGAAAATAATGTTAGTAGTTGCTTGTGTCAAAAATTATAATTTCAAGTTCAGTAAAGGTTTAAAGCTGTTAAAAGTAAGTACATACACTACAAATTGTTTTAGAATTCCCAATTGTTTTCAGAATGTAAAAAATATGTCTTTCTTTGTCTACAGGTTGAGGAATGTGTTGTTCTTCCATCAGACGAGGATATCCAGCTGGTCAAACAAATATTATTAAAGAAATTTAAGTGAGCAGACTTAAATCAATAGTCATAGAATGCTAATTAAAAATTAATTTAAGTCTCTTCCAAGTTCCTCTTGAAAGCCATGCAGACAGACCTGTGCAATGATTGAGTTATGTCAATGATTGCCCAGTCTCTTTATGATCTAAAAAATTATGGCCAGTGAAGCATTTCTGACAGAAGCAGTTTGGAAGCTTTCTCTTATTAGATGAAATGAAAAATGTCACTTCATAAGTGCTAATAATAAACTGTAACTCTTACCATGAAAATGTTTACCAGAGGGTTTCATATTTTTAATTGTTTAATTTTTACAGTGCTATTCCTTCAAGATCAAGTGGAGCAGCCTCTAAATCTGAGCCTGTAAGTTGTTTGTCCTTCAAGTGGCAAGATCAAATTCAAAATTCTCCCAGGTACCTTTAATTGGTTTATCTTGCCACTAGCACTATTGGTCTTTTTCACACCATGTAATGCATAAGACCTCTACAAACCTATCAATTTTGCAATCAATTTGTACATATCAATATTATTACATCCATCCATAACTGACTTTGGGACCCAATGTCTCAGCTATTCTAATGGCCAAATATTTTAATCACTTCACGACTCCCATGATGATTATTTCATTTCAAAGTAACTATTAAAATGTTCATGTGCATGCATCATTCCAGCTCACAGAGAAAGAAAAACAATTACAAGAAGAAAGAAGGAAACTCTTAGAGAGGAAAAAGTTGGAAGATCAGGAGAAAGCAAGAATCAAGGCACAGGTACAATGTATGTCTTCTATGTGTTGTACACTTTTTGCCTTTGACTGGCAAGGGAGTTAAACGAACAAGTGAACTTGACAGAACATTAGTTGACTGATACTTATTTCTGTTATATCCTTTGCACAGATTGAAGCTGACAGAAAGAATTTGAAAGATAGAGAGATCAGAGAATCTGTAAGTTGAGTTGTAATTATTAAGAAAAATATTTGATACAAATTGCACCTGAATTTTGTAATAATATGCAAAATTATAATTCCTGAACTATAATGACTCCACATTTCAGAAAGCAAAAAAACTTGGCAAGTTTGGTGGAAAGATGACAAAATTTGAAGACATTGGTGTTGACCTGAACAAGGTATGTACAAAATATTAAAGTTTGTCTCAATCTCAAAAATAGGTATCCAAAGGGTACTTGTGCACTGGCTGTGAAAGTTGAATTTGAGAGTAAAAGATATGTAACAGAATAAAATAAGAAACAAAATCATTTTATAATTAGGTACTTCTGAACGATGAAATCTGTGTACAACAAGATTTGCATAAGTCAAAATATACAGTTTTTGTTACAAATTAATTTAAGTTCCCTGGCCAAGGCTATGTTGACAATTATTTCAGAAAAAATTAAGATATTTTTATGGGATTAATTTGTTTTTCTTCCTGTTTGTTTACTTAGTTTCTTAAGAGTTCTTTTTGTTGTTTCAGGGAGGTGGATGAGGATAGTTTTCTATTGGGTCAAACCAATGATGCAATCAAATGAAAGACATTAGCCACACAAGATGACGACATTTCTGGAAAAGCTTATACAAGCCTCAGAGATGTTTGATGAAGGGTGGNCTTCGAATCCAACGCTTTGATGAAACCAAAAGAAAATATATTTTACCCAAAGTAAAGAAAACAATATCCAGAACATTGTCCTTGTATTAATGTTTCAACAGCTTTTGGCGAGTAAACATCCCAGGTTGTGTCATTCAAAGGTTGGCCGAGTGGAAGTTTGGGTCTGGTCACCAACAAAACTAAAATAATAATAATAATAATAATAATAATAATAATAATAATAATAATAATGATAATAATAATAATACAAAAACCACGGGTAAACCATGAACCGCACTCGGCCCATGGCCGTGCGGTTAATAATTTCAGAGGACTTCTAGCCGAGACACAAGGATATTCTTAGATATTCAGGGCAAACTCGTTGGGGGAAAAAGGTGAAGGACAGAAAAAAATAACAAAAAAAAAAAAAAACATTTTAATGTGTGTGGACTTTTTCATATACTTTAAGACTTCTTTGGGTGCTGGTCGATTTAACAAAAATGGCCAATTCCATCTTTGAGACATTCCTGCAGGAATCGTGGTAGTTATATACATTGTGTTGGACTGGACAAGTGTTTTGATGAATGCAACTACCATGATTCCCTGCAGGCGTGTCTCAGAGAGGCAATTGGCCATTGCCATATAGCTGGAGTTAAGTTCAATCCAGCATGTGCTCTGATTGGTTGATTTATGGTCACATGGATGTGTGAATCTGCCCTGATTGGTTGATTCATGGTCACATGGATGTGTGTGAATCTGCCCACTCCCCCACTATGTTTGGCTTGGGAGTAATTTGTCTTGCCTTATTGCTTTACACTAAGCTCCAGCTATATTAAAAAACACTTACCAGTAATTACTGGTTGATTTTGAAACAGTTTTGTGTTCCCCTGAATTAACCCTGGAAATGGCAAGATTCTCAGGAAAACAAAACTAACTGTAATTAAGTGATTAAGTGTATAATTTATTATAGTTTCATTATACTTGTTTCCAAATGATTTTCATTTGCAAGGGTTTAAAGACATTCTAATGGAAGTCATTTCTCAAGGAGAACAAATCATTTTACACTTCTAACAATGATATTCCAGTCTTTTTACAAGGGTTGTGTATTGTTAACAAGAATAATAAACAAGACAGGTTTCAGTATGTTTGAGAGTTGTTTATTTTCTATTCTTAGAATTATCTTTTTACACAGCAAGATGGAAAACAGCTGAATGAATCATTCAAACCTGAAAAACAAAAAATAACTATTAGTTTCCATGTCCATGGCCTAAACATATTTTTAACTTCTTACAGTTGTGAATGCAATGATACATGTAGCTTGAAGAAACAGTTGTCTTGCAACAGTGTCTCACGTAGATTGTTACCTGTGTGAAACTGGGCAACAACCAGCGACACTAATTTCTGAGGTCTCTTGGACAAAAAGGGATGGCTTATAATTCAGGCTGGCCAGTGGAACAAGTTTCAGAGAATGTCGTTTATAGGAGCCTGCATCATGTTCAGGGCTTGAGAAAAGTACCCTGCCATAGTCCCTGACAAGTAGATTTTCCTTCTGGGCAAGTAACTTTTCATTCTCACTTACCCGATGGGCGAGGGATCAGGCAAGTCATGTGCCAACTAAAGCATTAAAATATCAAACTAAGACTTGCCCAGGGCAAGCAAAATTTGAGAGCTACTTTTCCAAGGGCAAGTCGGAATTCAAGTTTTTTCAAGCCCTACATGCTTTTCATTGTTGTTTTTTCATTGTTGCAATTCAGTAAAAATATTATCAAATACAGTGGAACCCTGTTAACCTGGTCACTGACAGGCCACAAAAATCGCCCATATTAACAGGTGGCTGTATTAAAAGGGTTCTGAAATAAGAAAATGACTGACTGAGCTTTTGTTCAGGCCAGAATTAAGAGGCTGCAATAATGAGATGGCCTTATTAACGAGATGGCCGAAAGGCAGGGCTCCACTGATAAAATTAAGGTTCCAATTTAAAAGATATAACTTAGTTATAGCAGATGAAACATACCTGGTAACTCTACATATTAACAGGTACTGCAGGCTGTTCAGGCTTTCCTCCCTTGTGTTCAGACATGGGGGTGGCTGGTACCACTTCCTCTTTTGGCTCCACAATGCTGACATGATCTGGAAGAGGCTTCTTAGGCCCAGTCTTACCAGTGGGGTCCCATGGAAGCATGATCTTTACCTTGATTCCAAGCACACCTGATGATATCAAAGTCTTTCATTGAAAATAATTGTAATACGAGTCTTGCGCAATTCTTGCAAAACCCAGATCAATAAGCATCTTTGTTGAGCCACTAACAAGATTTTTCTGTCAACTTTGAAGTCTTTATCAGGGTTTTTATAATCAGCCAATTAAAACCTCTAACATACCTAAATTTAAATTTAAATTTAAATTTAGTATGCTTCGGCCTTCTATTACATATAAAGAAAAAGAAAAAGAAGAGGAAGCAAAAAAAAAAACAAAAACAAAAAAAAAACAGACAGCAAAACAAAACAAAATGGCCAGGGGAGCTGCTACAGCTTAGCCAATTACAGTGGCAAAACTATGGAATGCTTTCACATGATGTCAAGACAGCCACGTGGGCATCCCAAACAAATACTGTGGGATTTGAACTGTCCTTGTAAACACTTTCTCCTCAATAAATTTACATGACTTCTGGCCACACGAGTGAAAATGCCCTATTAATTGATAAAACTTATTTATCGATTGAAGTCTTGTTTAACTTTTTAGCCAACATGCTCAAAAACCTGGCCTGCATTAATACTACACTGTAGGTAACTGTGGAGCAAATTAAATAACAATTTTGCCAAGGCTACTGGCTTATGCAAAGAACCTGTACTTGCCCATAGCATGCTAATTTTAAGATCATCAGATATTCAAGGAAAATAAATGGACAGATAGTTTGATACCATCTTAAGTACATGTATATAACGTCTAATGTGAACATACCCTGCCTGAGGTAGACATGTCTGATGGCAGTATCCACATAATGATTGGTTGGTTCTCCACTGTGGATCATCAGACCGTCGACAAACTTCATGGACTTGGCACGCTGACCACGTAGCTTTCCAGATACAACAACTTCACAACCCTTGGCACCACTCTCCATGATGAATCGAAGTACACCATAACAAGCCCTGTCAAGCAATCACAAGAAACTTTTACTTGAAGAGAAATAAGATCCTACATAATATTTGATGAAAGGCTTGCACCACTGAAACTTACGTCGTCTAACAATTACTACAAAAGTTTTCACTTAAAAAAGAGTTTTGTGATGTCTTACCTACGTACTGCAAGTCCACCAATCAGCTTGTACCTAAGAGATTCACACTGGGCAATAGCACACAGACCTCTTGTTGCCACTTTTTCAGCATACAACTAATAGAAAAGCAGAACTAATGATTAGAAATTTTGCTGACAATGTATCTGTACCAAGTAGTACCAGCAAAGAAGCAGGGAGACAACTTTCTCCAACTCTCTTTTTGTTTTATCATTAAAAGCTGTCTGTTAGGAAAGGTTAAGTCTGTTCCAATGTTATGGATTGGTGGAGCCAGCTTTTTGACTAATTGTCGTACAGTTTACTGTTGCCATTTATATCCATTGCCATTTATACTCTTGAATGGAGAGAACAAAAGTGACAATAACACAACACAACTACCCTGAACAGCACTGAAACAAGGTGCACACAGCCTGGACAAATGATGATTTATAGTCCAATGCCCTCTCCTCACCCTCTCACCGAACACTTTGTTCCACTTATAATATGTAACCTAAAATTTGTACAATATACTCTAAAGATCTTGAGTATTTACCTCAACAGTTCCCTCAGGGAAGCCAAACCTCTTCTGTACAACAGATGTTAGTTCACGAATGCGCCTTCCCTTCTCTCCCAGAACATTCTGTGTCCTGGTGGCCAGGATAATGATCTCAGTTCGGATGGGAGTAACTCGAACCTCAACACCACTGTAACCATCTTCCGCTAATTCACGAGTCAAAAACTCGTTCAGTTCGGCTTTGAATACGCCATCAGCAACAAACTGTATGGAAAAAGTATTCAGAAAAATGTCTAAGAAAAATGGAACACTCTACTAGCTCTTCTGCAAGGGACTTTAAAGGAAAATGAAGAGAGAAAATGCCAGGAAGGTATGCTCTAGCTATGTTTGTGGTCCTTATCGATGTAAGCTTACATGTAAGGTTATTATTCATTTTCCAAAACTGAATTATCTTAAACAAGAAACCAGTAGATTCACGAGATTTGAATTATATCAAACTGCTACAGCAATATTTTTATTTACTTGGGCAGAAATAAGCTAGGATCAGTCCTATAGGGTTTGATTTCTGATATCTAGACGCCATAATACACAGGCACCACAAATTACGGATGCTTCGACTACAACAAAATCCGCTTGAATCTTCACCGTAATTTGAACATCACTTCCTAATAATACCCCGACTAGAGTCCCAAATAATTTCTTTTCACTACAGCGTAGTAAATATCCGAGATAGTCACTTCATAAGAGAGATTTCGCCAATTTTCCAACCTTCTTTTTCTTGCTGATTTGAGCCGCCATGATGACTGCCACTAAAAGAGGACAATCCCATGGCTATTTGCGCGCTTCATCACCGTGAACGCAGGCGCAGTAAAGATTATTCCACCATGTTGACGAGTCGGTGTTTTCGTTCGATTTCGAAGCTTTCTTCTTCTGCACGCTTGGTGGTAGGTGATAATTTCCATTAAAAAGTTAAAATTTGCACTCTGCTGAACAGGATCTTTCTACTTGCAGCGTCATGCTTCGAGGCTGCAGCAAGGAAGCTGCAAGGAAGGTAAGACGTTACATAAACTTGATCTATGAAGTTTACAATGCAACGCACGTGCTCTCGGTGTAATATTTGTATTCTTAGTCAGATCTGTAAAATAGCCGCTGATCTGTATTTATTAACATTCACAGGGCTGATTCTCCAGAGTGGACTGTTAGGAAGGTCACCGACGAGTAGTCAATTGTAAGTGATAGCAAGAAAGAAAGGACTGGAACTAGCCGAATGAGTAGCCTGCGTAGCAAGCGTTTCTGTGGGGTTCGGGAGCAAAGAATTACAACGCGAAAAATGGAGCGAGTAAAAGAGGGGGGAGGGGGAGGGAAAGGAAGGAAGGAAACGCTTGCAGACAAACCCCTGGATTTTAAAAACCGCCCACTTGGCCTTTCATGCCTGCGCACACTGAGATTTCGTGCTGTCATCGGCTGTCATAAATTAACCAATAAAATCTTCGGCCTTCCGTAGCGGAAGTGAACTTTGAACCAAAATGAACTTTGCTTGTCAAAATATGTCTGAAACAACGAGCGCATGGTGGGATTGGAGAAATCTCGATGAATTAAATTTGGTAATTTATAATCAAGCTATATTTCTACTCAGTCCGTCTAAAAGAAAGGACTGTAAGGGTGAAGTTTTAGCACAAATCTGCCAGAAAGTTAAAATGTGAGAAGTATTCCAGTCGCATTAGTGATCCTTGTGCTCGCATGATTCGAAATCTTGGATCACTGTATTCATTCGTCCAGGAATCGATACAAAGTAAAATTAGCAAGTCAACTCCCACAAAGGCAA